AGTCAACAAAGGCTGCAAGATTGTGGACTGATGCCTTTCAAATATACAGTGGAAGGAAATTGGAACCATTTTAAACACAAATTCAGCAAGCTCTTCATTAAAGATCATGTAATGGCTTCACAGAACATGGCTGACAGCATCATAGATGCTTGCACACAGTTTGTGACTGAAAAAATGGAAAGGAAAAACAATTACCATGACACTTACATCCAGGAGATCCTACACATGATTGATGAGCGGCTGCAGAACAGTCAGAGTGTTAAGACCACTGAGTTTGAAGTTTCTCTGAAACAGCACATCTGTGGAGTTGCAGCCAGACAGTTTCAGAAAATGCATGAAGATTTCATACGTGCTAATGATCCTTACAGATGTCTGAATCAAAACAAAGAAAAGTTTCGTGCTGATTTCAAAGACTGTTCCATGAACGAGACCAGTGCCAGAAGAAGGCAGAAGAATTCACAAGCCGCTGCTTGAGGCCTGCAGTCGAAGACTTTGTCAACCGTTCATTGGGTCCTGATATTATTGGTGAAATGCTGACACGGTTCCAGTTCAGCACACGAATGTTCTTCCAGTATTCAGTTTTATTGGATTTGCTCTCAAAGGATGACTTTGAAAACTATAAGTGCTACATTTGCTCATATGAGGTTTATGTAAAGAAATGGACACTCAAACAAATAGAGAAACACTTTTCAAAGGGTGATAGAGTTTTTGAGTTTGAGGATCGACATGTTCTGTCAAGTATCAACAGCATAAATGATGCTATCAACAAAGCTAAAACAAAAAAGAGTGGTAACGTGAAGACATTCGTTGAAGATGTCTGTCAAGAACTTGGTGATAAACTCGTCATTTCCCAGGATGCTCTTGGTGCTTTCATGATCCGGAGCAATGCCGACCAGGAACAGTTTGCTTACTGGCTCACTGAGTGTGTGAAGGACATGGCACAGGCTCTTAGAGAGAAGTTTAAAACAGAAACCATCCAAATGAAACTGAAAATCTTCATGTGAAGCCCCAGAACGAGCTTTTCACCCAGTGATTGGATGCGGGAAACAGTGTCCATTCTGCAAAGCTCCTTGTGACGCGGGGCAAGTAAACATGGAGAGCACTTTGCTAAACTACATTGGCCACGGGGTCTGGTTCAAGTCAAATGTGATGCGACACAAAAACTTGTCATTGACATATGCTCGTCCTTGGTGAACAGTGAGGCACGTTTTCGCTGTGATGCTACAAAAGGTGAATGGCACCCTTACAAGAACTACAGAGATATTTTCCCAGACTGGATAATCCAGTCAGATGTAAGTTTAGAGGCATCAGACTACTGGAAATATGTACTGGCAAAGTTCAACAAGGAGTTTGCTGAAGCATATAATGCAAAGCCTGCTGATATTCCTGAAACTTGGAAAACAATCACACATAAACAAGCAGAAGCGAGCCTCAAAGAGTCGTTTAACATCAAGTGAGAGAACACATGCTTTGTGGTTACAGAGGTGCACGTTACTCATTGCATTCATCCTCCTCATGGATATTTAGATATCACTTGTTTTATATGTCAAAGAGAAACAGAAAAAACTGAAAATCACTGCATTTAGTCCACACCTTTTCCTGAGATCCAATTTAACGTGTTTACTAAAAAATAATCTGCTTTGTTTAAATGTTGATGAGGACATTTGAAAATACTTTTTTATATTCTAAACCAATGTAGGGGCTTTGAATTTATGACTTGTGTGACAGATGAAGTCATTATATTTCCACTGAGAATATGTACAGTTCAATTAATCAAAGCAACAAACTGACTTTTTTTGGTTTGTCACATATGATCTGAATTTTTTTTTTTTTAATATCTGATGTCATATATTTACATTACATTTTACAATCAATATTTATGTGGTATTGTCATAATAGGATAAGTGATTGCTTGGAATTCACAATCTGTTTGATATTATAAGATATAAGTATTTGATGCAAAATATTGTATAAAAAGTATTAAAAGATCATTCAATCTGAATGTCAACATGTAGGCCACACTGTGGCAGACACAGTTTAGTTCTTATCTAATAGAGTTTAATGTGTGATTTTCTTAACTCAGAATTTCAAATCTCTTTGTTTAAGTGTCTGTTGCTAAATATTGGCATATGTTTACAAAGAATCATTCATTCCATATGTGGTGTTGTCAGCCAGGGCTGGACTGGGACTGGGTCAGACAACCCTCACCAATACACCATCCTTCCATGTGTACCTACTGTAATATTCCCCCAAACCAGCTGAGTGGTATGTGTCGAGGATCAGTGTTTACGGAGTCCGTGGTGATCAGAGGTGGCCATGGAGTACATTATCTGCACCACTTTATGGTGTAATGTATTTATTTATATAAAGGGAAATACAACATTCAGGTGGTGGGTGACAATTCAGAATACACAATTATAATAGAATATAATGCAGTAATCCGTAGCTTATTATATTTTTTGATAAAGTTACTTTTTTTGGATAACACAGATGTTCCTGCTATAAATACCTGCATTGCAAGGTTTCTTATTGTGCAAATAATCCTTTCTCAAAGCATTTTCATTTATTAATTAACATTTCTTGATGAAACAGATCGCGGGGAGGGAGTGGGGGCTAGTAAGGCTGTTATTGGGCCAGCCCAGTGTCAGCAAAGAAATTTACCCGATAGTCCGCTGTCTGTGCTTTATGGGCCAGTCGTTATTTATATAAATAAATAATTAACGTTACACCGGCCCCAAAAGGTCCATTGGTCCACCAGGCATTTGCCCGGTATGCCAGATTAGCAGTCCACCCCTGTTGTCAACATGTATACATTACTTTTGTTAAATGATTTAATAAAGAAACAAAATCAGCAGACTGGCTATGAATGTCTTTAATGTTTCCTAGATCAGAATCACAGCATACAGTGTATAATAACTTCTAAAGTAAACAGAAATATCATCACCTCATTTATTTCTATAGTTTTACTATACTTTTGATAATAATCTTTTTTAAATTCCATTATTTAACATCAAGTCTTGGGTTTCTGAATTCAACAAAGAATGTAAAAACAAGACAAAAGGTGCAACTTCTCAACGGAGAATGTGAGTCAGTGTGTAAGTGTCACTGTCTCTGTGTGTGTTTGCCATTGTTGGTGTTAATCATGTGCTTCCATGCACCACCGACCTGACACAGGATCTGACCTGAGTGATATGAAGTCATCTTGTTTTGCTTGGCTGACTGTAGTTTTCAGGCATGTTGAAATAAGAATAAACTGTAATTCAGACAAAACTGTGAGAACCACAGGGCTGCAGTGAGTCACTTTGTAACATAGAGGCTCAGTGTGTGTCCACAAACATCCATTAAACACACATGCTCACAGTCTGAAACTTAACTTTCATCCATCTCTCAACTGTTGAATCTCTTCACTGCTACAGCACATTACTGTAAGGTCAACACAGCCTTCATACCCACAATGCAACACAGTGTGAGGAAGAAAAAAGTCAGACCACATGTGTGATCTCATTTCTCTAAGAGGACCTTGCCTGAGGGGTCACCTGGATATCCCCGCCCTGGGAATCGAACCCACAATCACCTGTACCAAAGTCAGTGGCATTAACCACTATCAAGATATATATATATATACAAACTTCCTGGAGAAGGACTCACCCAATTTGTTTTTGCTTCCAAACGTAACATTACAGTAACTTTTATTCAACACAGGAGAAATGGAAGAACAGAGTGTGTCGTCGCTTTTTATTTCTGGGCAGTTGATTGTAAACTGGCCACCTTTGGCAGCAGCCAAGATAAGCCTGACTGTTAAAATGACAAAGAAACACTCATGAGCTTTCTCCTTAACTGCCTATCGGAACTCTTCGTAAAAGAGGGCAGGAAACCCTAAACTGCCCCCCCCACACACACATGTAACCATGGCAACTGACCTTCCTCTTTGTTTAATTACCTCACATCAAAGGATATTCTCCTTTCACAGCCAAATGTAAATTTGTGAGGAACTCCAGAACACCAGGAGACACTGCCCTGAACTCCTTTGTGTAAACAAAGAGTACTGTCTCCTCAACTCAGTCATTACCTTGTTTAATTAAATCATCTTTAAGTTACTTAATTAGGTCTCTCCACTCCATTTGAGTAGTTATGTTACCATGTTGGTGATATTTGTTGTTGATTTGATTTTAATTTTCAGCAAGGATCCCTGACCTTTATTTCATGTTGTAACCAATGCTTTGTTCACAACACTTTCTGACACTTCCTTTAGAAATGATGATAAAGAAATGTCATCCTATACTACTTGATTAATTTTCCAGCTTGAATTTAAGGTTAAATAGCTAAATTCTCCTGAGCAGAAGATTGTTTTAGGGTGAATCAAAGCTATCCTCATGTAAACCGAGCTCCTCTAAATGGACAAAATAAGTATTACATGTCATCGTCTGAAATGCCGTTTAATTTATAAATGTCACTCTGTATTTACCTGTCCATAATCTTATGTCATTTGTGTATCTTGCTTATATTCTCTAAGAACGTGTAACAGCCAATATAAACAGAAAGCTAGTTCTGGGAACGGATTGGGCGGTACCGCCTAATACGTCATCATCTGGCAAAAGGTATCATAACTTCCAAATGATTTATGATAGAGCATGCGGTCTTTTTTACCGTATACCTGAGGATATCCCGGGATTGTGTATATAGCTTCCTCCCTTGTTTTGCAAAGGTTTTACTGTAAAAGCCAATGAAATCGATGTCGTCAGGCAGATTCCACGCGCATTGACCAATGAAAGTTTGGGGGTATGTTGCATTTTACCCAACCAGAGGAAGGTAACGTGACGTCTTCTAGGCAATCAGAGCGACTCTGGAGCCCTTTACAGAATTGAGGGCGCGGTCACTCAGAGACAGTCTTGGAGTAAACACCAGCAGCGGAGCGCATCGGAAGTCAGAGAAGGCCAAAGAAAGCCGACGGAGTAACTTTATAAACGTTATTATTATTATTGTTTTAGTGCTTTCATAATGGCAAAGAGGAAACATTTTCACAGCAGAAGCATTGAGCCAAAGTTGGGAGACGGATCACGTAGCAGCCGAAGCTGAAGTCTTTTGTTTACCGTGGAGGCGAACGCGATCAAAAATGGATTTGAGACAGGTATGTATCTTCATATAACATCTTTATCCTAAAATAATGTAATAAAGTGTAATCATTATAGCTTATTGTCAGCTGTTTTGGATGTATGTGCGTAAATGGGCTGTTTTAGTTAGAATCGACTTATGTTGTCTTCCATTGTGTGTCGGCTGTGCTCGCTCCTCTCTGAATACGTAGGGGCCGCGTCATTGTCGTCATTTTCACACTTTGGCCCCCTCTTTTCTGTCTGCAGTGAGCTGCATGTTTATACAAGAGTCAGGTTACAGGGGAGATACTGTTTTCCTACGTTGGATTTTGACACAGAAAGAAGTTTACTGATTAAATGTGTAATTGCTCTCTCCTGTGACTTTATTTCACAGCACATCATCTGCATGATCATCATCTAGAGTGACTTTGGAAACACATCCATATAGACTACAGTGGCTGCAGACCAGAAGATCGACTTGTGGACACAGTAAACCATGCACACAGGACTGCAGATGTTATCAAGTACTCTGAGCACTCTGTAAGCAAGCAGAGCCTATAACAAGACCCCCTGGCAGTGTGGGGCATGCCAGGAGCCCCACTGCATCTTCTTAGATGCCTTGCTTTGGTTAGGGGGATGCATGAGAAAAACGCCTTGGACATTTTCACAAAAGGCTGCATTATTTCATTGTTCCGGGCACATTTTATTGAAAACCTGCATATGGATATGACACAAAGGGTTGAATAAACATGTTTTGAGTTCCAAAACTGTTCACTATTGATGTATAAGGTGTGATTTTTATTAATAAATCACAAAAATAAATCTCTAGTTTATTGTTCATTTTTCACTCATACTTCCTTTATAAGCACATTACATGCATGATTATGTTAGCTTAGGGTCTTCTGAACCCATAGATACCAAACACATGGTGTTTCATCTCCATTACATATGGTTCATAAGCCCAAATGTATAAATGGAGAAAACGGACCAAACAGGGCTTAGTCCCCAGAGGGTTTTAAGTTCCTCTCATCTGATGTGATTCCTATGAAATGCTAACCTTTTAAGGTCTAACTACTGACAATTGTTTTCCTTTTGATCAAGTGCTTAAAACTAAGAACAGTATACCCGTTTGACAATTAAGGTTTGATTGTAGGAAGATTTTTGATTACAATACGCGCAAATAGATTTTTGATTAACTTTTAATATGTCTTGTTATGACCCTGGGGTCATATTTTGTTGTTTGTTTATCTCTCCTGGCACTGTCAGCTGTTCTCCTCCATTAGAGTGTGTGTGTGAGTGTATGCAGGTACTGGAGAACAGGTGGACACACTGGATTGGTCTGGTTGAGCTGATTGGAGCCTCCTGATTGGGCACCTGGATGACAGCAGCCATCTTAAGCCCTACTGACAGGAACTCTCCACCTCTCTCTGCCATTCCCAACCTGCCTGAGGACTGTGTGTTGTGTCTGTTTTTATTGTACATAGTGAACGGTTGTGACTATATTCAACTTAGATTGTAAGTAGTTTATCGTAGTCCTTCTGATTGTCTTATGACAACCTGGTTTTGTTTGGCTTTGCCATTTTTTGTTTCTATGAAGCAATTTCCTTTGTCGTAGCTATATTGTATCAGCTACTAGCAGTGAGTAGGAGTGAGAAGCCCTTTTTTTTTTTTTTGCACCGTTTTCTCCTGTTTTTGGACTTAGAAGCCTAGTTTTAGAGCTTTGTCTTTTCTTTACCTTTTGTTTTTGGGTTTAGGAAAGATTTAGGTTTTCTTAGTGTTTTGGTTGTTGTTTTGGGCACTGCTCATCTCCGATGTATAATAAAAACTGCTAAATTGTATTTGTTGTGTGCTGGCCTTGTTTGGGAATGGGAAGAGTGGGAGGCCACATATTTATGTTACATCCAGGACACCCCTAGACCTTGGGACGTAACAGTCTAAAGAAAGACGGTCTCTCAGGAAACCGGAAACAAGCCCTCCCTCAGGGGAACAAAGGACTGCCCTCTGGGAACCACGCTCCAACAGACAAAAAGCAGCGACCCACGCGGTCTCGCTCTCTTCTTGCTCTCTTGGTCTGGCTCTCTCCAATTGTGCTTCGGCACGCGCCCAGCGAGCTCCCTCTCCCGGCAATGCCCTAAGAAGTTTGACCCGGCGCAACGAAGGCCCTTTGTTCGTTTTCAAGCCACACGTGAAGCGACCTCGATTTTTCCCTTGTTTCCAGCAACTTTACTTGCTTTTTCTTTTCTTTTCTTTTGTTTGTTAACCGTATGTTTCACCATTTTAATTCAAGAACGACCAAGTTCTTTTAAAGCCTTATTCATCGAGCTAACTTACACTGATCCCAATCACGTGGGCCCGCCAGCAGTAACAAAGGACGACCAAACCTCTGACCCCGAGCCAGGATTTGAAAAGGCCCCCAATTCAAGTTTCTTCAATGAGCCGACAAAAGAAGGACCTCTGGAGCAATTCCCTGGCAGAGAAAGCGAACCGAGAACGCATGGAACGCCGCCAGTGTGAGGCCGTTTACCAGCAACCCGGCTGGGAGAAACGACAAGCAGTAAGACCAAAACCCTGCATTCTGTGATCAGTGATGTCCAATAGTTTGTTAATGCATTATCTTTAGTCTTAAAACTCATAGCTTGCGTTCATTACCCTCATTGCCTGTGTGAATCAAATTCTCCCACAATAGAACCCACATTCTCATTGTTTAGCCATTGTGTATTTCTTTGATGTATATTTAACCTTATATATTCACCTTAGTTAATAAATCTAACCCTAATCAAAGGAATTGTGTGTGTATTTTCTATCTCCAAGTCCCCCCTTCAATATGAGACTGACTGACTGATTTAAGATAATTGAGCGATTATTAACTAACTGATCACTAGTGAATAATTGTTTAATTATTAACCATACTCAAGGAGACCCTGGGCGAACGGAAACTCGGAAGGTGCCCCGCGAGAGATTTATGAATGAATATTCTCTGAATATTAAAATTCATAATTTTGCATTAATTCTCATAAGTTTATTAGATCAAAAATAGTCATGCTACAAATGAGAGGAGGAGTGAAATAGTAAAATAATTTAAGGCAATTTTTTGATACTTGTGTTGAAAGTAAACAACGGAAAATTATTGATACCATCAGAGCATTTTTTTTGTTTATGTCTCCACATGAATCATATTGATGCAACTTTAGGTCTGCTCAACGTCCATGACCCCCTGAAGTGACTCTACACCCCCCTTTGTGAGAACCACTAGACAAGCCGGTGTCTCTGGTCTCTTAATGGCAGAACTACATCAAAATCAAGTTTTTTTTGTTGCTACAGCTATAGTAGTAGTATCCTTTTTGTAGTATATTACAACTTGCTGCTGGTTTATGAAGGTATTTTTGTGTCTTTTTAATCCAAGCAAAAAAAAATGTTTTGAGAGCATATTTATCACACTGCAATAAAAAATTCATTTTGTAATTAAAAATAAACAGGAAAAAGTTTTAATTGCTAATTTGTCCTTATTGATTAAAAAGTTTTCCTTGCGAGTCAGAAAGTTTTGCAAGTTAATAAGTTTTTGTCTGGAGAGCCAGTGTCAGAGCGGCGTCTGGCCGCAGCATAGCAGGTGGTGGACCGCTGTTAGGAGAGCTTTTTGGGAGCATTTCAAGTCATGCAAAACAACTTTAATATTTGTAACCTTTTTAATGATGAGGGCATTGTGGGCGTGGTCATGCGGCCAATGCAAACCCATAATTGGTTAGTCAAACCCACTAATAGAATCTCTTATTTTGACCATTTTTGACTCGCAAAACTTCTCAACTTGCAAAACTTTCTGACTCACAAGGAAATCTTTTGACTTGAAATCAAAGATGACATATTTGTTATGGCAGACTAGGTGAACGGACTCAGGGGCAGACTCAGGGCAGGTTTAAATCCAGGAATTTAAAGTTTATTGAAACGGGGTGTGAGAGTGGAGCAGAGGGCAGACCAGGGAATGGAGACCAGCGAGTGGATTTCCAGGCAGGTAGGGAGCTGGGTGAGGCAGTGGCAGAATTTCCAGGCAGGCTGTGATCCTGAGCACAGAGAAACAAGGCAAGTAATCTCACAAGAAACAAACAACAGAATATACAACTCGAGATTTGTGGGCCACAGCGCAAATACCACTGAGGTAAGCTGACGCTGTGGCAACGAGTGAGGTGAAGAACCGGGTTGATGTACTGCAGAGTCTTGATTAGTGGAATGTGGATCAGGTGTGCAGGTGGAGGTGGAGAGCCAGGCCCAGAGTGAGAAGCCACGCCCAGACAACACAGAGACAGACAGACAGACTAACAGGAGACACAGGAAGAGAACATAAACACAAGGGGTCGGGGAGGAGGACTGCAGACTCATCACAATATTAGCAATTAAAACTTTGTGACATAAAAAAGGCCTGTTTATTTTTAATTACTTGATTTTTGTTTGCAGTGCAATTAATATGCTCTCAAAACTTTTTTTTGCTTGCATTAAAAAGACACAAAAATACCTTCATACATTTCACAGTATGTTACAACTAACTCAGACTATGGGGCGAATTGTAACCTTTTACTCCTTGTGTTTGAGACTAAACCATACATTTTCTTACTCTGTTGCTGAGATAACTCCATTTAATAGCAGACACATATAACTAGTTTGTATCACATTTTGAACACACTGGCTTAAAAGAGCTCCAATAAACAGGCAGAATGGTAAAACATGTTACAACCCAATCTCTTACTAGCCCCCACTGCCTCTCCCTCTGCCATCTGTTTCTTGTGTTGCGGTCCAAACTTATTTTTTTATTCTGATAACTTGCTACCGGGGCTGCAGCAGCTTCAACATCAGCTGCACTACCCGACATTGTGCAGCCTCCAGCACTGATTAAAGGATAGCCTTTGCCACTCCCTGACAAAGGAGGAGGCGTGTGACAGTTAAGCAGAGGGACAGAGTGACTATCAGTGACCAGGTCATTTTTCTGGGTAGCCATGAAGAACAACAACCACATTTTTTTCTTTGTGAATATGCAATAATCTTCATGATGCAGCCTGTCTCGCAGCCTGAACTAACGCTGCATTTACAGCACGCTCATGATGTTTCGCACGGGTGCGTCACTGGCTCACCGGCAGTGCGAGTGACACAATTCACACATCTCCCTACACCATGTGCAAACAAACACATGCATTCATTAAACACAGATGCTTAATATAAACATTCAAACACACAGACCTTCTCATCTAATAGAAAAGACTGATCTGAGACACTGTTCAATCGTATCTTGATTACAGGAAAACTGACTGTTTAGTTGTGATGAAATTGTTCCTACATGGTCGATTCCATTCATTGTCATTGATAATAAACAAAACTTTCTTCAACGCTATGCACAATGAATTCTGAGGGGCGGACTTAGTCTAATGTGTAACCTACCTATAGTGTGGTTTATTAAATATGGTGTGCCTCAGGGGTCGGTCTTAGGACCCATTTTGTTTTCCTTGTATCTGCTTCCCCTTGGACATATTGTCCATAAACATGGCATTTCTTTTCATATTTATGCTGATGACACACAAATATACTTGCCCGTCAGATCCACAGACCCTGGAATGCTGAGTTCACTTAACAACTGCCTTTGTGAAGTTAAAAAATGGATCTCAAATAATTTCCTCCAGCTGAACTCAGACAAAACAGAAATCCTGGTCATTGGGTCCCAGCAGATGGCAAATCAAATACTGCCATCTGCTGGTTCCCTAGTAAATCACATTAAGCCTGTGGCAAAGAACCTTGGTGTTTGGTTTGATAGTAATTTAAATTTCGAGCAGCACACCACAAAG